GATGTTCATCATATATCTTGCACGTTTATTATGAGGAACATAAGTTTGAAAGATGTATTGATTATATATAGGAATTTCATTAAATATAAAAAAGAAACACAGATGGATAGACATAAACAAACTTTCTTTTCAGATTTATAGCTAACATAGGTGTATATACATATAGCTATGGAAAGCTTCCAGTGTTGTTTTCTTGGGTAAACATCATTTCTTTAAATGGGTCGTGTTCTGTTTTCCATCGTTTAAAACAGAGATTAAAATAACTTTTACTCAATTTTGTTGAAGAAATGTTACATGTATTGAATCAAGAGCAAAAATAACTTTTGTTTTTCATCATTTCTTTTTTTAAAATACAAAAACTAAAACTGGGGTTGACTTTTAAAATAACAAAATGTATGCTCATTATTCGACAAAGCAACTGATTCAGTAGATATGAACGAATAATTAAGTTTTAATATTATATAAGCAATAATTTTACTTCTTGGATATTTTATGACACAATACTTATGGTACCCAGCTAGTGGAAGCAACCATGCGTAATATTGTGCAATTAATATAGCTTTTTGACTTACATATCATACAATTCTTCGCATGGTAAATCCAAATACATATCCGCAAATTCATTATATCTCAGTTCAAAGAATTATTTAATAAATCTAAACGTTTAATAAGTCGTTATTTTAAAAATATAATTGATATTTCAGACTGAACTTTTTTGTATTGAATTTCTTACTAAATTTCAAACCAAATAAAAACTGCTATAGGTTTTGTGAACTAAAATTTGTTCTACCATTTCCATTTGAATGTCACAGAAACACCATCAGTGATAATTTGCAAACAATGTGAAAGAATTTTGATGAGTTAAACAATCCCAATACAACGAATCGATTAAACTCACTCTCAAACGAATTTAAATTCTTCTACATTTCTCATGTATATATGTCATATATCATGTATAACCAGTACTAAATTTTACCGCAGTAGTAGGAAGAATTAAATTTGGACTCATGTGGTGAGGAACATATTTTCCCGGAATCCCTTTGTGCACAAAAAGTTTCAGGACTTTTGCTGCATTGCTCGTTTATTTCACAGGTCTCATGTAACGATCTTTCACCTGTAAGTAAATGATAAAATTGTTGAAAACTAACTTTGAATACCTCCAAGCATCAATCTCAATGTATTAAGTGCTTCTGTTCAAAAAAATTATTATAAATATTGTTTCTGCCATTAAAGAGAAAATTTCAATTCTATTGTGAAAAAAATAGTCATGATATTCATTTATTACACAAATTATTCACCCTGAAAACAGGTATTATACATCATTATATAGCCTTCGTTACATTCACAGACTCCACTGGTCATGTTACAGGTGGTATTTGGGTTTCCCTGTATACACTGTGATGAGTCAGTACAGGATTCCCCAACTCTTCTCTCTTCATTAATAAAATTAAAATGTTCCTTGTGAATTTGTACAAATTCCTAAAGAATTAAGGCTTGTTGTTTTTTACAGGACATAAAAGTGCAATACATAAAATATTTCCGGTTTTTAAGTATTCAATAGTATTTAAAGACCGTATTTAAATGCTTATTTTCGGCCAAGACTTGCTATCAAATTCACGCGGATTTTCCATTTTATATACGTAAAATCATAACCTACTGAATAAAGTCTTTTCTTCACAGGTAATTTTAATGTAGGCACCAGTATTTTTAAAACTACCACATGACTTGAACATCGTAAAGCGGATTGTTTCTGAGAAAATTATTTCCATTTTTTCAATTTCAGATAATCCTTCTTCCTTCACACTATCTTCAGATAAAGAACAGTTGACTAAACATGTTTTCTGGTTCTCTATGGAATAAGAAATCAAAATTTTAAAAGAAAGCATCATCTTACATCCAGGATTGCAATTTTGAAAATAAAAGTTTTCTTATATATATATATATACATGTATATATACAATATATATATATATATATATATATATATATATTATTAATAATCGGTTACTCGGACGTTTTTCCGATCGAGTACCCAGGTACTCGGTAAAAATGTAAAATTTATTAATACAAGTGTGTTAATTTTCTTGAGCCACGTTAAGCTCGGTCAAACCCCAAAGCTGTTTTTATCACGTTTATAAACGTATATAGATATAGATTCCAACGGAAATGATTTTGTGGTACTTAATTTATTTATCAAATGAACACAAAAGACACAATTAATACATCAAATATTACAAGTAGTTTACAGTTCTTGTTTAGGACCTATTTGATCAACGAAAAAGGAGGACAATCTGTTACACAGGTTTGTCAAGATTAAACTAGGGAAAGACAAGGAAGGAGGTTGTTGGGATCGCTAGTCTAATATTTTTTTTTCATATGATGGTCGTTTCCACGGTATACACCAAACCTACTACGCATACTGATTTTCAACATTTTTTTTCAATATTTCAGTATTTCTAAATATTTCTTCACTTTTAAAGTGGGTAGCGGAATTCTATGCATGTCCATTTTCGCTGCCGTATATAAACTAAATAATTTAAAAATGAAGATAATAGACCATACTTAAACGATGTACAATGAAAACAATCATTGAAGCCATTCAAAAATTAAGGACAACAGTAGGTGAGAACAGCTGTGTACCAGGTGATTGGTCACTAATAATTGTATAAACACAGCCCCAGGCGATAACGGGTGTTTACAGGTGTAGACGACGACACGTTATTTACCGTATGGATAATTTAGTTTTTGATAAAAATATTTACTTTGAAATAAGAAAAATATTCATCCGAGTAACCGAGTACCATTTTTAGTATTCGATACTCGGACGTTCGATCGAGTACCCGGTTAACCGGGTACTCGTTGACATCCCTAATATATATATATATATATATATATATATATATATATATATATATATATATATATATATATATATATATATATATATATATATATATATATATATATATATATATATATATGATAACTCCATCATTAATAAAAAATAATAAATAAATAAATAAATGAAATTTTGTTGTTTTCAAAATACCATGAAAAGTTTCTGTAAAGAATCCTTTACTGAAAGCACAGGCATCTTCGGTATGATAAAATGCAAGTACGTCCTGAAGGCAGACTGCCCTTTAAAACATAAAAACCTCCTTAAAAATTTTGCAGACAAGATTTTAAATAATCTTTTTACTACAAATCAACGATTTTCGAAAAGAATTCAACCTGAAATAAACACTTACCTTACACTATTAAATTTTGATTGCAAAACAAATATGACAGGAAAAAACACTGAAATATAAATATTTTAATATGTTAAAATGTCTTTCATTTTTTAAGTAAGAAAATCAATTCAATGCTGATTTACTTTGTGTTATTATTTTTTGTACTGAATATAAATTTAATAGTCCTCGCATTTAAAAAAAATCGAAATATATCAAGTGTAAAAACCTTTACACAACAATTAATTGTTACTCATTTAGGTTGGATATGTGAATAAAAAAAGAATGCCTTTTATATCATTCAAATTATCAAAATTGTATTCACTTACTCGCTGAACTCCTTGATAAAAACATATCTGTGGTATGAATGACCAGTTGCTGATTCCAGAGATTGATGTCTCAGGGTAATTTTGGTCACTTATCCGTAAAAGGAAGATATTACTTGTAAAAACCGAATATTGGTTAAAGTTCATAATTTTTTGTAAATAATACACAGTGTAAAATCTTTTATCAGCAAGGAAGTATTTTGCCCTTGGCTAATTAACTTTGTTAATTTAAGTGTGCTAGGTGCTGATTTACATGATTTCACTGAACATAGGATCGTTTTCAGGAAAGATTTGTATCAAGCTTTTTTATAAATGGTGTTAACAACTTTTTTCAACTGATACAATGTCGGGCGCTTCTTGGTGAGGAAAGTATAATCTATTCCTTATACATCTAATTTCAAGTTCGTATTTTATAACAACGGCTAACACGACCTTCCGATCACGGAGCTAGCGCTCTACCGACCGAGCTAGCGTGCATTACAATGGAACTGTTGAATTTTGACACTTTCATACAACTGCTTAAAAAATTTATCTATCTACTTTGAAAGTTGATTTTATTTATTTATTTTGGTCAAAGCATTGATAAATTTCTATAAGATATAAAGTGAAAAAATAATTATTGGATGTAATTATTAAATAGTAATTTAAAAAAAAAAAACTTCAATGACGATATGCTGTATTAACTACATGTAAGTGTCGTACAAGAGTTGACACACTTTTTAATTACAAGTAAGCACCTGTTAAGATACCATTCACAAATATTACAAAAAATCTTACTTAGAAAAACGCCAAAGTGCAGAGAAAAACTTTTTGTAAATTCAAAATAAAATTTTATCCCATAAGTTTCATATCCCAAATCTTTTTTATGATGGAGCATACTTATTTTTTGAATGTCGGTTAGTAAACAAAAAAATTACTAACATTACCTTCATAGCCATATTTTCACAGTTTCGATGCTTTAATGAAACATTGAAGAAAACGTCAAATCAAAATATAATTATCAATGTAGATACTGAAATAATGAATATGTAAATGATAATAATGGGGAAAATATTTATTTTTGAATCGTTCGTAGTTTCTCTCATTCATTATTGACAGAATTGTCTCCACCGTAACCATCATTTAGTCATGTAGTGCAGTGGTTTTCACATCGAACAAGGTAGACAAATCTCTATACATTCAAACTGCTTTTGCAAAGTCTGACATTTTTTTTGCCAACAGTCTTAGTGTCCCCGGATGTTTTTTTTTTCTTCATTTCATTGCATGTAACTGCATGAACTATGATAGAGGTATTTTATTATGTAGCTGAACAGTCAAAAAGCTTCATTTATCCATGTCTTATCTTTAATGATTCTATAGTAGATGACACAAGTGTTCTCTGGAGCTCTATAGTTAATAATGATATCCATGCCTAATGAGATAATATATTACTTTCAGCCTATTCATGATAAACTAGAATTTCACTGTGTTAATTGTGTAATCCTATATGATTGTAAGTATCTTCTCCCTGATTATCAAAAGGGGGGTGGTCGTAGTCTGATACAATGTCAGAAACACGCTGATCTTCATTGAGATGGTTGTTAATGTCACTTTGAAGAATATTGTTCTGGTCGTAGCAATGGCTATCATGGGATATTTTGTCTGATACCTATAAAAGAACTCATTTTCAATAATCTTTGAGTATATTAAGGTGTTTACTTATTATCTTTTTTTTAAAAAGTCATATACGTAAATATGTTCAAAAGTAATGTACATATTTAAAACATAATTTTGAATAGCTACCTCCTTTTTCGGTGTTTCTCTCTCTTCATTGTAGTCTCCAGCATGTCTCTATTCTAGATAATAGTTTTTTGGTGTAGAATCTACCTGTCTAAAGGGTTTTTTTTTTTTTTTTTTTTTTTTTTTTTTTTAAATATTAGAAACTGGAGTGTTCTTGATAGTTAACAATTATCTGCTGTACTTTATCAGAATTATTTTACGTGAAACGTTACAGGGAAACTATTACATAAATCGACAAAATCCATTTGTTATTTCAATTATAGCAAAGTATAGAGAAATACCTATTATATTCATTTTTCTTGTATCGAATAACAGTAATGTAGAGAACTCCAAATACAGCAACACCAAAAACAAATCCTCCTATTCCGACACCAATCAATAAACCGATGTCTTTATTCACTCTCTCTATAATAACAATGCATGTCCATTTAGGAATAACTATGTGTACATTTCTGGTATCTCTCTATAATATGCTGAAACGCAAAAGAAACGCAACATCCTATTGTAAGGGGAAATAATATATATAGGATATGATTTTGTATCTAAAAAGTAAGGATATCTTTGTAAATATCGGTAATTTAACGGGTGAATAATTTTCATACCATTACCGGAAGTTAAGTTTGAGTCCGCTTAACAGAAATATAAAATTGCATGTTTAACAAAACATTTGGCAATAATATGGGGGTTTTAATGGTTTGTATCTGTTCAACATCAGTAATGCAGCAATATTCCGAAAAATAGATTATCCTTTCTTTTCCGTAAGCTATGGCAAGGTTTCCTGAAAATGCCTTAAGTACGAATTTCCATTGCTCTAGCTGGAAAATCTCAAAATAAAGGTGATGAAGATTTGCAGATGCAAATATGTAATACATCACGCCTCAAGAGGCTCTTGCGTATCATTAGCATGAATGACAGTCCTTGGACAGGAAGTCCAAGGGTTACTACACTGTGCAAGGCTAGAGGAAATTCGACCTCGTCATCTTAAAAACATTTAAAAATGGCAAAAGAGTATTTCATTCGCTCAGATCTCGAGATTAATGAACCTATTGCATCGTAGAAATCAAGCTGCAATTGTTGTTATTGAATGACCGGGGTGGGGGTGTTTTAACAGTCATGAGTTACTATCTAAAGTTAAAAGATAATCATTTAACATTTTTATCAAATATCTGATGTTTTTAAATCGAGTTTAACCTTACTGTATTCATTTTTGAAAATCATCAGATAAAATTTTTTAATATTTGTAGATTTCCTAACTAAAAAATACTATAGTTAACTATAGTACCAAAGTAAAAACTTTGGAACTTTGATTTACTATAGTAAAAACTTTGGAACTTTGAATTACTATAGTGAAAACTTTAGAACTTTGATTTACTATAGTAAAAACTTTGGAACTTTGATTTACTATAGTGAAAACTTTGGAACTTTGATTTACTATAGTAAAAACTTTGAAACTTTGATTAAGTACGATAAATCCCGTGGAATTATGTTTTTGATACCAATTCTTTACATTTTATGATATTTCAAGTTTAAGATTCATAAAAGCTTTAGAGAACATTTTATAACCCCGACCCCTCCCCTAAAAGAATAATGTACAAGATATGACTTTTAATGTAAGGGTTGTCGCTTGCGCCGATAAATAAGCAATATTTTTAATTTTAATGTTATGCAGATGCAAAGTCTAATTTACGGAGAAAAAATAATATATTATAAAAAAATTGTGTCATTTAGAATCAAAATATCAGCTTCATCAACTTCAGTCAACATGTATTTTTTTTTAAAATTCATAAATGTAAATATTGTATTTGAATTAACTACTTTGTATATTTAAATAAAGATGTACAACAAAAACCAACCCCATATCCACCCCCTCCCCTAAAACGCCTAAATAATAAAAAAAATAATTAATAAAAATACATAAGTTGTTAAAATGAAAAAACTTTGAAACTTTGATTAAGTATAGGGGAAAACTTTGAAACTTTAATTAACTATAGTAAAAACTTTGGAACTTTGATTTACTATAATGAAAACTTTGGAACTTTGATTTACTATAGTAAAAACTTTGGAACTTTGATTTACTATAGTGAAAACTTTGGAACTTTGATTTACTATAGTGAAAACTTTGGAACTTTGATTTACTATAGTGAAAACTTTGGAACTTTGATTTACTATAGTTAAATATAGTAAACTATAGTTAACTATAGTTTACTACAGTATTTTTTGTCAGGGAATTACTTCTTGTTGCCTTTCTTTTGCGTTTCAGTATATAAACATGCAGAGTGCAAATATCTTCATACTTATATGAAGCTTTTAAAAGTCAAAAGTCATTACGTGACCTAATCACACAGCGGAAAAATACCTACATAAAATGACTTGCTATACTTAACAGTTATAGCATGCTTTTCCTGTACAAAAAATGTATAAATTCGTAAGTAAAATAATAATCGTTTTTAATTGAAATGCAAACAAAACAGATGACAATATTCGAAAGTAAAACTATAATTGTTTTATTTCAAATGCAAACAAGTATTTAATCCAGTTCTTTAGCGATTTTACATAGAGAATAAAATTCAGTCAAACTTCGTTATCTCGAACTTCATGGGACCGAGAAAAATTTCGAGATATCAGAGGATTCGAGATATCCGGGGTAAAATACTTAAGGAGTAAGATATTGGGACTTCAAAATCACTTCGACATATCTATGGTATCGAGATATCCGTGTTCGAGATACCGAAGTTCAACTGTTCTACGTACTTTAAGTTTATGTCAGCCTGCACGGTCTTATCGTTTATCTTTATTTTTCCTGTGGACCTTTAGTTTCATCTTCATCATAAACTCTGAATGGTATTTCAGAATTTTTTCTTCATTAAATTATATAATTACTCACGATAAATTTGCAAATCTGCTGGAAAATATGAATATATGCCACAAAACATTTGGGTAAGCAAGCGTCCATCATCGAGAGCGTTTTCTTAAAAATGTAAGATGTCGCCAGCGTCTCTGTGTCTACATCATAATAAATATTCCTTACTGAAATTGTAGATAAAATGTTTTGGTCAAATTGTATAAAGTTAAGCTTGATTTCAAGTTGGCGTCTCTATCCATACCTTTTCAACCGAGATTCTTCCAACTTTTTATAAGCAAACATCCTACGTGTTTCTTTTGCCTTTTCAACATCGAATAACAGTTGTCATGAATACAAAAATTTCCAGACAACAATATGCTCCCAAATATCTTTCATAAAATATTCCCTTCAAAACAGAATCCTTAGCCAGAAGGATTTGAAGCGTAACCACTTTTCTAGCCAATACTTTGTAAAAATCTATGACCGACAGTCAGTGCTATATTTTTATTCGATTGTTCTTCTCAAATGTAGAAATAAGTAATAAATAACAAGTTGTAAAAAACTTCACTGGGAAATGAAGTGGGTCGTTACGTGATCAAATCTTCTGAGAAGGCCTTCTGCCTTCACAGGATTTGATCATGCCAGCCCACTTCATTTCCAAGGGAAGTTTTTAAACGTCTTATTTATTTCTTAAATGTATATAGCGATATTGAACTCAATATCCCTTATATTATCTTGAATGGCATTTTGTGTAATAATTACATGAACTTTCCATTTGATGTTACTAAAACTAATAAGAGATATTATTTATATTTCTTTGTTATTTTTTTAAGTACGAAGCCATGTCAACAGAGCTAGATTTTTTGATAGATTAGACAAAATAACAGTAGCATTGAAAGTAAAAAATGTCATTTATTCATTTAAACTTCGAAAAGCAAAAATACACATAGTTAAGGGGTCAGAAGAGACTATAAAAACTTCTAAAAAACAAAAATCCTTGGTATCATATTATGCAAACTGACACCCTAAAAATAAACATTCCATAAATCAGGCACTGATAAGCCTGCAATCAAAAAAAAGGTGGAATAAAACAAAATAAACACCACAATCCAATTGCAAATTGGATCCACTCTACCTTAAAGGAAGCATAATACTGTCTAAAAGAAACAAAAAACAATCTTGCATGACGAGAGAGAGAGAGAGAGAGAGAGAGAGAGAGAGAGAGAGATGTTCACTAGAAAGAGAAGCTTAGTTGGTTAGAGTCATACATTAACAAACCTTGTTAATTGCTTCAGAAATTGAACGCATTTCGATAACTACTCTGAACATATATATAGGGCAAAATTCATCTTAATAGCTTTTTAATTTTCAGAGAAAGATTTCATAGGATTCCCCATTCCCCACGTTAAATAAAAGTCCAAGCTTTTTGATATCATTGACAGCTACTTTTTCAATAACAAGAGGCCCAAGGGCCTTAACGGTCACCTGAGTATAATACAACAATTTAGAGAATCTATAGAGTATAAAATGAACTGAAAGGTGAACCTTTGTTGCCCAAAAGCAAGAAAAATAGGGTGATCAGGATCAACAAAATAATTAGTCTAGTATTCATTAACAGTTCATAAATAAGGTTCTTATCTCTTCCCCATTTATCACTCTCCCCATACAGTATATTACAAACTATCAGTGCTTCTGTACTATTTGAATTCCTTCTTGAAATCTGTTACATTGGCCTCTCTTGGTCTTTGATGAACATTTTTAAAATAAGACAAGTTATTTTTGTCTCATTTTTATTTATCTATTTCTTCACTACTCTGGAAGAAGCACTCTTGCTCATCATAACTATACACTTAGCTTCTTTGCTTTTTAACCAGAATATTTTCAAAGAAATTTCGCTTTTTCACTATATAATCAATAGAGCCCCCCCCCCCCTCCATTCACCAGAACCCTTGACCCTGGGGCCATGAAATTCAAAATTTTGGAAGAGGCATCCTTGCTTATCATAACAATTTACTTAGTTTGTTTAAATAATACCCAGGGGTAGAGAAGAAGATTTTCAAAGAAAGAATTCACCTTTACTATAGGATCTATATAGCCCCACCCTAGCACCAGAACCCCTGTCCCTGGGGCCATGAATTTCACAATTTTGGAAGAAGCATCTTTGCTTATCATAACAATGTACTTAGTTTGTTTAAATAATACCCAGGAGCAGAGAAGAAGACTTTTAAAGCATTAATGCATTTTCACTATATAATAAATAGAGCCCCACCCTAATATCAGGACCCCTGATCCAGGGGCCATGAAATTCAGAAATTTGGAAGAGGCATTCTTGTTTATCATAACTACGTATTTAATTTGTTTCAATAATACCCAGGAGTAGAGAAGAAGATTTTCAAAGAAATAATGCACTTTCACTATATGATCTATATAGCCCCGCCCTAGTACCAGAACCCCTGACCCTGGGGCCATGAATTTCACAATTTTGGTAGAGTCACCCTTGCTTATCATAACTATGTATTTAAATTGTTTAAATAATACCCAGGAGTAGAGAAGAAGATTTTCAAAGAAATTTCGCTTTTTCACTATATAATCAAT